AGCGCTAACCCGCAGCTTCCGAGCAGACACTTCCAGAACGCCGAGCCCCAGATCCTTGGCGAGGTTCCCCACCACAGAGCCGCGGTCCAGCTCCTCCGGGATGGAGTAGCGGACCGGCTGGCCCAGCGCGGGACAGAACAAAGGCAGCAGCAGGGTAAACAGTACCTGCGGGCGGCGGCCGGGGCGCTGCCTCTGCGCGCAGCTCCCTCCCATTGCTGGCTCGGGTTCTCTCTAGGTCTTGGATCTTCACAGTAGGAGAGAGTGCAGTCTTCCGAGGCAGAGATGCATTGGTCCCTGGACAGCAGGACCCCAGTTTGGGGCTGGGAATTGGTGTCTTAGTTTCTGTGAGTGAGAGTTCCCTTTGGAGTGTATTCGTTTCTGCGCAGGAAATTCCAGCCTAGAGACTGAGGGATGCCGGGCATTGGTGCTTGCGCTGCACTGGCCGACAGCGGCTCCCAGAGGCTCTGAGTGGAATTGCAATCTATCTTATTTAGAAATCCTTTTCCAAAATGTATGTCTTGTTCTGAAAACGCAGCTATGAAATAGTCGCAAATTTTAATCTATGGTATTACAGTGGCTACTTATGTATTTAATGTTTTAAAGAAAATTATATATGATTGGAAACTTATACCATACTATGAATATTATGTATTATGTCGTGAATCTTCACACACAGATCAAACCAACCAATCAACAGTGAGGAACATAAGACCAATCTTTGTTTAGTATATATTGAGCTTTCTGGATAGTCAAGATAATATCCAAAATATATAGTGTTATTTAAAACTTCCTTTTTCAAGGGAACAGAAATACCAGTAATTTCATTTCCAGTCTATTTATGTTCTACAATCTTTTATCTACACACATTAGTTTAAGAGCACTAGAACCAATTATTTCCCACAGTCATCAATCCAGTTACTTATGTTGTGGTTTATGCTAAGGGACAGTTGGGTGTGACATCATGTGTCTGCAAGGTGAAAGAGTCCAAGATTACCCTGGGAGGTACAACAGGACCCTGGATCCAAAAAGCCAACCAAACCAAACCAATTCAAAACAACAACAACAAAAATCCTCACCTGTGCTCCTGTAAACCACCCTGATTAAAAAAACGTGATAAGAAGTCATGAATGTAGGAGCAGGACTACTTGGGAAGAGGAAGGGAAAGGGGAAGGGTGGGGTGGAGGTAAGGGGTAGCAATGGGAGAGTTCGTGACTGAAATACATTGCACACATGTGTGAAAATGCCATGATTAATATATGCTAATAAATATTGAGAAGTGATGTTTTGGTAGACTGTTATCTGCTTACCATGTCATAGCTACCTCACCACGAATATCCTTTTTTTTTTTTTTTTTTTTTTTTTTTTTTTTTGGTTTTTCGAGACAGGGTTTCTCTGTGTAGCTTTGGAGCCTATCCTGGCACTTGCTCTGGAGACCAGGCTGGCCTCGAACTCACAGAGATCCGCCTGCCTCTGCCTTCCGAGTGCTGGGATTAAAGGTGTGGTGTGCCACCAACGCCCAGCTCACCACGAATATCTTATGTTTCCCCAAATTAACATGCATTTATACTCATGAATTAAAATACGCATGTGCCTCCTCAGAAGAGAAATTGAAAATTTTCCATACTGAGTGATTAGAAAATAAGATTCCCAAAGAACTCTTATTTTCTCCTATTAGCATACAGAAGAAAGAGTTGTTTCTTCTACTTTGCTTTTAAGGTGGACTGAACCTGGAGCTGTGCACAACTCTACCTCTGAGCCACACCTGTGGCACTGAAAGAATGCTTGAGGAAAGTAAGATGCCTGTGTATCATATTAGATGTCCATAATATATCATAATGTCAATGTCCAGATATTAAACTCCTTATTATGTATAAACTACTGTAAGTTCATAGAAACACCAGCAGTCACCAACATATCTATGCAACACAAGTTTAGAGCAGAAAAACACCTTTTTTAGACAGGGGTCTCTCTATATAGACCTGACTGTCCTGGAGCTCGCTCTGTAGATGGGACTGGCCTTAAACTCACAGAGATCCACCTATCTATGCCTCCTGAGTGCAGGGATTAATGGTGTGCACCAGGCTGTAGAACAGACATTTGGAACTTTCATTTCTTTCTCTTTCTTCTTTCAGATACAGATTAAACTGGATGTCTCACATAGGATAGGCAAGTACTTCACCACTGAGCAATACTCTTATCTCCAAAGTCATGTTCAAGTGTTCTCCTGCATGCCATCTGTTACTTGAATGCTGGCATTGTTTAAAAACCAAATAATGCATATTTTTCCTAATAGCTAAAGTCCAGGAAAATCTTTTTAGAATCTCCTGCAGCATGCCCTGAGACCAGTTTCTAACTTATATCCTATCTACACCCTGAGATTGGAGAATTGAGCTAGAGCCAAAATTTTAATTCCCTATAGTTGACAAACTTTTAATTCCCTATATTAGCAACTTCTCTTGAGCAAGCATACACTTGAAAGAAGAGTGTCAAGCTATTTTTCATAACTTGATACGACAGCGTTAGGTAACCCAAGCATGCAATGCTATTACCATATAGGGTGCTACAATTTTCACCATTGAAAGAAGAAAAGACAAAAAGGCTTTGATGGGGTTTGGAAATGATAGCTGAAGTTTGACTTACCCTCAAAAAGGATCTTTAAGCACAAATAGTTTCTACAAACTTATGGTCTGAAAAAAATAGTTCATTGAGGCATTTTCCTGTCCTAGAAACAGAAATGTGGGGGCAGAGACTGTGGGTTTTCAGTTGTTTCTCCAAGAAAGGGGAACTTATTAGTCCACCCTTAGAAAAGTGTCACACCAGAAACTGTTTTAAGAGCAAGAGCTACAATGAGGGGCATTAGGAATAATGACCCGTTAATTTCAGGAAGAGAACTCCAGCTGGAGAGATAGTAGAGAGCCACTGTGAACAACCAAGTAGCTCTATCCATGCAGGGTAGTAAGAACTGCCCCCATTGACAAGAGTTTCATAATGAGAAAGTGAAAGCCATATATATCAGTGATGTTTGACCAATAAACTGAAAGACAAGACTCAGGTAAAACTTGAGTGCTTACAAATATATAAATATCAATATAAGAAACACTAAAGTAGAGAGCTAATTATCATAAATAATAAGGGGAAAGAGCCCAAACTCACAGGAACCAAGGGAGTGTCATCAACAGGAAACCTGGACTCAGCTGGACCACACAAAGGCTCGCTCTTCCCACAGCTCTCCTGGCTGATGAGTGTGTCTGCATAGTTGGGCTGTGGGAAGATCAGGTGGCTCTTCCCAGAGTCAGGTGTGAGGGAGAACTCTTGAGAATAGGTCTGTAGGAAAGCTTGAACCCCATGCACGCCCACAACATGTGATGGTGGTACCCCAGTCAATTCACCCTGCAGCAGATGAGAAGCGTGCCAACGCCTCAGCCTAAGGGCCAGCAGGGCAAGGACAAAGGCTAGGAAGACACAGGAGACCACAGCAACTGCCACTACCAGGTAGAGTGTGATATCAGAATCAGGGTTGGCAGGAGTGTTGATACTGCCCAAGCCAGCCAGGATGTCGGGGATGCTGTCTGCCATAGCCACCGTGAGAGTGATGGTAGCAGAAAGAGGGGGTTGACCATGATCCTGAACAGCCACCACAAGGCTTTGCTTGAGAGCATCTCTGTCTAGCAGGGCCCTGGTTGTGCGGACTTCACCTGAGCGGAGTCCCACTGTGAAAAGTCCAGGCTCGCTGGCCTTGAGCAGACGGTAAGACAACCAGGCATTCTGTCCAGAGTCTTTGTCCACTGCCACCACCTTGGTCACTAGATATCCGGCCTCTGCTGAGCGGGGAGCCAGCTCCACACCAGTGGAACCGTCAGTTGGGAGAGAGGGGTACAGGATCCGGGGAGCGTTGTCATTCTGATCCACTAGAAACACAGTCAGGGACACGTTGCTGCTGAGTGGGGGATGCCCACTGTCACTTGCCCTCACCTGCATCGGCAGATTTCGAAACTGCTCATAGTCAAAGGATTGCAGAGCATAGAGCACACCTGTGTCAGAGTTAATTGAGACATAGGAGGAGAGTGGTGCTCCCTGGATAGTGTTTTCCACCAAAGAGTAAGTGATCTTAGCATTCTCATTGTCATCGGGGTCATGGGCAGTAACTGAGAAGATGGAGGTGCCCCTGGGGTTGTTTTCAGGGAGATAGACTGAGTACGAGTTTTGAGAAAAGGCAGGCGGATTGTCATTGATGTCAGCTATGTACAGGGTGATTTGAATTTCTGTGGACATGGGTGGGGTTCCTCTGTCTGTTGCTGCCACTGTGATATTATACTCAGAAACCTTTTCGCGATCGAGAGTCTGGACTGTCAGCAACCTATAGTAGTCATCTACTGAATTTTCTAATTTAAAAGATGGGTTCTCCTGGATGGAACAGACAACTTGACCATTCTTCCCCGAGTCTTGGTCATGAGCATTGAAAAGGATGAGTACTGTCCCTGGGGGCGCATCTTCCCTCACTGGGCTAAACAGGGATGTAATGGTCACTTCTGGTCGATTGTCATTTACATCTTCTACCATAATTATCACTTTGGTCCGCCCTTTCAGTCCCCCACCATCTTCAGCCTGTATTTCCATTTCATATAATGAGCATTCTTCATAGTCTAGATTTTTCGCTACTGATATTTCCCCTGTGTTTTCTTGAAGATGGAATAACAGGGACTGTTTTTCATTAACTTTTCGGAATTTATATGTCACTTTCCCATTGGCACCCTTATCCGGGTCGCTAGCTCTCACCGTGAGCAGCAAAGTGCCAGGGGCCACGTTCTCGAGGACTTTCACGCGGTAAACCGGTTGGTCGAAAACAGGGGCATTGTCGTTTGTATCCAACACTGTGACCTGGATGAGCGCTGTGCTGGAGCGGCGCGGGTTGCCGCCATCGGAGGCAGTGAGGACCAGGTGGTGAGTGGGCTCTTCCTCTCGGTCCAGGGTGCGCTCCAGCACCAGCTCTGGGTTTATAGTTCCATCATCTCCGGTTTGCAGGTGTAGAGAGAAGTGTTGGTTGGGGCTGAGCTGGTAACTCTGGAGGGAGTTTATGCCCACATCTGGATCAACAGCTTCTGGGAGTGGATACCGTGCTCCAGGGGCAGCGATTTCACTGATTTTTACTACTAAATTTTCAGCCTCAAATTTCGGCGCATTGTCGTTGATATCAAGGACCTCTACTTCCACCCCATAAAGTTTCACTCTGTCTTCAACTAGGACTTTAAAGCTTAGGAGACAGGGCACACTCTGAGTGCACAGCTCCTCCCGGTCTATTCTGCCTGCGGTGACCAAGCTGCCACCTCGCGGGCTCAGAGAGAAAAGCTGGATCTTACCTTTGGAGATGATGCGGACTCCATGCTGCGCCAGCTCGCGGGGCTCCAGTCCCAGGTCCTTAGAGATATTTCCCACTATATAGCCCTTTTCCGTCTCTTCCGGCACCGAATAGCGGATCTGTCTGGCCCTGGCCCCGGGCAGCATCCCTAGCAGCACGCAAAGGAGGACCAGTCTTCTGCAGTGCTGGCCTCGGGTCCTGGCAGCCATTGTTGCTTTTGCTACGGAATTTTCTCAGAATGCTTTGTGCTCACTTAGTCCCTAGGCTCTTCTTCCTACAACTGTCCGATGGTACTTATCCCTCAGGAGAAAGCCAGAGCGCTCCAAGTTAAAAGGATGAATTTTGCTATAGTCCGGGAGCCAGTCTGTAGGATACGCAAGGCTTTGTGTGGTTGCTGCCGAGAAAATCCGGATGGAACCCTGAGTTTTTCTTTCAGTTGGTGAACAGCGGCGCTCAGAGTCCTAAATCGTTACTACACCATCCGAGACTTGACATCCTCTCCTTCCTTCCTCAACCCCCCTCTCCTTCCTTCCCCCTTCTTTCCCATTTTTCTTTCTTTGTTTCTTTCTTTTTTCCTCCACTCCTCCCTCCCTCCCTCCTCCTTTCTAGAAAGTGTCTTACAGAAATGGAGTTGCTTAGGCTGCTCTTGAAGCTTGTACTCAAGCAATCCTCCTGCCTCAGCCTCCAGAGTACTTGTGTGCTCCCCGATGAAATATTTGATTATAGATGATTGATAATGACAATAGTATTTGCTTATTATTGTGATTTCAGTTTGTCTAAGCATTTTCTTGCATTTATACTCCAAAAGCAATGACCATTTGTGGATATCTGAGTTGTAAATGAAGTGGGGTGATATTTCTGCATTAACTCTCCAGTTTGCTTAGTGTTGACATAATTCCCTTTAAATTTTGGGTTGTACACACTTTATAAATTGTTATAATTTCATTTTTATGGTGCTTTGTTTTGCATACGTCTTTACAACTTTTAGAAGTATTTTTGATATGAAAGATATGTAATACTCATATCTCCTTTATATTTGTACGATATGTGTGTTCATTTCATAATTACATTGGTTCCTTTATTCCCTGGCAGGATCTTGTTTTATATCCCTGACTGTTTTGGAGCTGCTATATAGACTAGACTGGCCTCAAATTCACAGAGAGCCTCCTGTCTCTGCCTCCAGCATGCTGGGATTAAAGGCATACACCACCAAGCATGGCTCATAATTACACTGAATGAGTATATAGATGGATTATCTACTTTGAAGACATAATATTTATTCATTTTAATGATAAAATTCATAGTTTGTTTAAAACTTCTGTGCTATCCAAATAATTTCACTTGGGCAATATTTGTACATTTTCTTGTCTTACCTATTAATGTTAAAATCTTAACAAGATAGAGGCGTGTGTGTGTGTGTGTGTGTGTGTGTGTGTGTGTGTGTGCGCGCGCGCGCTTTTTTTTGTTTTTTTGAGACAGGGTTTCTCTGTGGCTTTGGAGGCTGTCCTGGCACTTGCTCTTGTAGACCAGGCTGGTCTGAAACTCACAGAGATCCTACCTGCCTCTGTCTCTCAGTGTTGGGACAAAAGATGTGCTGTTACAAGGGTCAGACAGGGTTAAGGGTTTAAAGTTCATATTTACGTGACCATTTAAAATTTTCCATGAGTTTACAAAGGGTTTAACTTTTTTTTAAAAAAGATTTTATTTATTTATTATGTATACAACAGTCTGCCTCCATGTATGCCTGCGCGCCAGAAGAGGGCACCAGATCTCATAACAGATGGTTGTGAACCACCATGTGATTGCTGGGAATTAAACTCATGACCTCTAGAAGAGCAGCCAGTGCTCTTAACCTCTGAGCCATCTCAGGGTTTAGGTTTTGATGTGAATACATGATGCATGTACAGGTATTGGGAAAATAAAAATTAACATTTGGAAAAAAAGCAAGTTTCAATTTCAGTCCTTCATCAAGATTGTGTGTGTGTGTGTGTGTGTGTGTGTGAGAGAGAGAGAGAGAGAGAGAGAGAGAGAGAGAGAGAGAGAGAGAGAACAAGAACAAAATAGATGAGAGTGTTAGCATCCTCTCTTCTTTTTCTTCCCTCATCCATCTTCTCCTTCTAGTCTGGGCATCAACTTAGGGCCTAGAGCATCCTGTAAGTAGTGCTCCACCACTGCATCCCATCCTGTAAGTAGTGCTCCACCACTGCATCCCATCCTGTAAGTAGTGCTCCACCACTGCCTCCCATCCTGTAAGTAGTGCTCCACCACTGCATCCCAGCCCCAATCTTTCCTTTCCTGAAGGATTTCACAGTTCCCCCAACTGATAGAACTCAGTGAAACCAGTCTGAAGAATTCAGCAAGTCTCTTTCATGCCACAAACACACACAGTAATTTGCATGTTTTTTTGGGGGGGATGGGGGAATAAAAAAGCCATGACTTTGTTAAGTCTAAGAAGCTAACCATGAATAATAAACTCAAGAAAGGGAGCCATTAGTGAAGTCAGTGAAGGGAGAGAACAATGAGTAGCTTCCTGCCTAAAGGATGAAGTAATTTTTTTGGGTTGTGTGTTTTGTATTTTGAGACAGGGGTTCTCTGTGTAACACGACTGTGGCTGTTGTGGACTCCCTCTGTAGACCAGGCTGGCTTGGAACAGATCCTTCTGCCTCTGCCTCCTGAGTTCTGGGATTAAAGGCGTGTGCCACCACTGGGTAGCAAATTTATTATGTACTCTAAATTTAATGCTTGCCTATGTATTTTAAAACTAGAAAGAATAGTGGTTCAACCTATAATTCAGCATCCAGGATACTGAGACAGGAGAATCTCCAGCTCTAGGCTGGCCTCTGCCAACACAGTATAATAACTTCCAGGCCAGCCTGGGAAACCGTGAGTTACCAATCAAGGCCACCTTATAAACTACCTAGCAAGACTCTGCCTCAAAAACCGTGAAAATCAACGGAAAATTTCAATCACTTTGGAAAAATTGCCCACTTATTTTGTTGTGAAGCTAATAGCACACACTCTCAGTACTGTGTGGATATTTCACTACACTGTAAATCTGTAACCTTTTAAATTTCTTTCTGGAACTTACTTTATATCACAATTCTGAGCCATTTTAACTTTTTTTTTTTTGAAGAGGACTCACAAGACCAGAACACATGATGAATTGCCATGGGAACTATTGATAAATTGTGTGGTTCAGTATGAGAGAAAGAAGCAAAAGTTTGAAAGGAACTCACCGCTGTCAGAGGTTCCGGGTGGGAAGTCGGTTCACTGGCATCACCAAGTGGAAACAAGGCCCCCGATGACTCAGGGCAAAGAAGGCCTTGTCCTGAACTCAATGGCTCACTACATTTTAGGAAATCACACTCTGTCTTTGTGGCATGTGCACCGTACAAATTATAGGAATACGGCAAAGTACCTTCGTAGTAGTTGGGAGGAACCACAGGTCTAGACTCAGAACAAAATCCAGGCTGAAAGCAGCCCCAGACAGAGGAACTGGAGGAGTGTCGCAGTCGAAGTGCTATGGCTAGAATCACAGCCAGGAGGAAAAGCACAGAAATTAAGGCCAAGGCCACCACCAAGTAGAATTGCAGCTCGGCTTGGGGGTCAGGGGATAGTGGACGGTCACTGAGGTCTGGCAGGGCCTCCTGCAGGCTGTCAGCGAATACAAGAAGCAGCGTGGCTGTAGCGGAGAGCGGCGGCTGTCCACCATCGCGCACACCAACCAACAGGCGCTGCCTGGCCGCGTCCTTGTCGCCCAAGGCACGCGCTGTGCGCACCTCGCCAGTGCGCAGGCCCAGGCTGAAGAGCCCGGGATCGCTGGCCTGCAGCACGTGGTACGACAGCCAGGCATTGTGTCCCGAGTCCGCGTCCACAGCCACCACCTTAGTGACCAGGTATCCGGGCTCGGCGGCGCGCGGCACCATGTCGAAGAGCGCAGAGCCGTCGGGCTCGAGCGCTGGGTACAGCACGCGTGGGGCGTTGTCGTGTGCGTCGTCCACCAGCACGCGCATGCTCACGTTGGCGCTGAGCGGGGGCGAGCCCTGGTCGCGCGCCTGCAGTGTCAGCTGGAAGGAGCGCAGCTGCTCGTGGTCGAAGGCGCGCTGAGCGAACACCACTCCGCTCTGAGCGTTCACGGTCACATAGGACCACAGCGATTGAGGCTCCAGGTCGCTGGCTATGATGGAGTAGGAGATGTGACCATTGGATCCCAAATCCGGATCAGAGGCGCTGACTTGCGCGATGGAGGCTCCAGGTGGGTTGTTCTCGGCTACATCCACCAAGTAGGATGCCTGCTGGAAAAGTGGAGGGTTGTCATTGACATCACCAATGTGTAGGGTGACTTTTGTGCTGGAGGAGAGGGGTGGCTTGCCTCTATCAGTGGC